ACAAGGACTTGTTCCTCGGCCAGGATATGCTGCAAGTAAATATAACTATTGACACTGGCTTCCCAGTTGTCAAAGTTTTCTTCCTTCTTTCCCCCGTACACGTCCGGAAACTTAAGCTTCACTGGGTCCTTACGGGGCCCGGCCTCTCCCTCTGCGGCGGCTACAGCTTTGGCGCCCTGAATGGCGCCCTCACAAAACTTCCCTACATTGTCTCTCGACTGTTTGACTTCGCCCCCAATATGGGTGACGATCTCACGCGCAAAGTCTCTAAACCCTGACCGCATGGCACTCAAGGCCACATCTTGGCTCCAACTTGCCTGGCGTTCTTCCATCCAGGCCTTGCTCAACACCTCTAGATAGCCCAGTACCTTGTCCCACTTGGCCTTATCATCTGGCTGGGCCAGCACCTCCGCTCTACACTCCTGCACCTTTGCCACTGCTACGGTCATCTTATTCACTTCCTCTCTCCTCCTCTTCTTCTCCCTCTTCATTCTCAACTTCCATGCTAACTTTTGCTCGTCTTCCCTCTCTCTTCGTTCCATTGGGTCTGTCATGGCTGCTAGCTCAGCGGCCAGCGCAGCCTTCTCATCATCCTTAGTCACATAGGACTCCGCCTCCTCATCTTCCCCCAACGATAAATTAGCAACCCACTCGTTGATCTTCTTCCCCAGCTCAGTATCTGTCTCCCATTTTATCGTGCCACCACTGTTCCCTTCTCCACTCTCAATTCTCATTTTCTCTTTCTCTTCTTCTGCTGCCGCTTCTGCTTCAGCAGCCTTCCTTCTTTCTTCCTCCTCCTGTTGTACCCTCTTCATCTCCTCCTCCAACCTGTTCATCTTCGCCGCCTGCTCATCTGCGATAGCCTTTAGCTTCGCCTGCTTCTCGCGCTCTCTCCTTGTTCTCTTTGACTAAGGCGGCCATCTTTTCTTGCTGCTCCTTGCTATAGGGGTTAGTCTCTAGCCCAGTACGGGTCTCCACCATGGTGATAGGTGCACAATCAGGATGATTCCACTCCTCACCACGTAGACTCTAACCCCTGACTGACAAATCTGTAGACTCAATCTAAGAACCCACAGAATCCTGATAAGGACCCTGTCAACTATGGTCTCTAGCCTAGACCTATGCTATGGCTGTCACTACTGAACCAGCGGCTGATCAGGAGGCATTTAAGGAGATCCCCCGTAACTCCTCAAGAATTCTTTAACGTCGCAGACAGGACGACGTGATCAGTTTGGTTCTGCCTGTGCTTTCAGCCCACAACTCAGCTTTTCCAGCCTACTGTGCCACACCGAGCAGCCCGCCGGTCTGTACCGGTCCTTGGGAGGGTTTGACCTCCGGGACAGTCGAGTCGTCAGACACAGATCCTCAGCCTTACTTGGTCCGGTAGGGGAGTGGTTCCAACAGGCCCTCAACACTTAAAGACGGTCTTCGTTTCAGCCTGCAGCTCAGAATTCGGACCCTCCACATTGAAACTGAGCAGACCTGCCGAACAGTACCGGTCATTGGGCTAGACGAGTTGTTTAACGAGCGCTCGCCGCTCATGCCCAGATCTCCAGATACCAGAGTAGAGATTAGTCCTACTAAGTCCCGTGCAGGTTTGGCAGCAAGGCCCTATCCTTCATCCACAGAGTTTTATGACCTAGGACAAAAGAGGGCAAGGGGCAGGCTAAGGGCTTGGCGAGATGTTACCAACTCCAGCTTGGTCAAAGTCAGATTGTACTCAGCAAGTACCAAGGGGTATGTGCA